TATAGCTTTGGTATTTTAATTTATATTATGGAAAATTAGTTTAGTTCATAAGATCCATCTACATTTCTGCTTTTTTAAAAAACATGATTCAACACCAAATAAGGGATTTAAAAGGACAACTATTTTGAGGACTTTTGCCATACACCAGACAAATGTAGTACAGAAAGCACATATTCACTTACTCCTACCAGAACGCTGCCTTTTCTGATCCTCCTTGTATGAAGCACATTTCATTAAAAATAATTTGCTAAACCATTGGTTATTTATTTATTTATTTATAGCAACACACAGCTGATTCTGTTTGCTAGGAAATACTATTTATAATGGCTTTGAAAACAATTACATGAACTGCAAGGGGAAATCATGCCATTTAGGCTTAATTAGAACAGTCATTTAAAACAGTTGTCATTCCCCAATGCCAATTGCAGAGTATGTACTTTGGTGACTACTGGCTTAGAAAGAAGACTATTAAGTTCTTTACAGTAATGTTTCTTAATAGAATTTGGTAACTACCTTATTTTACTTTAATCTTTGTCAACAGAAATATTTCCATTTAGAGGGTTTTTATTTCAATGAATACATTTTCTCTCTTTTATAAATAAAATAACATAGATACTCAGAAGTTAACTTTTCCCGGATAATTAGACTTTGGCACGCTCCTTGTCCAACACTGCTCTAAAGTCGGACTGGACTTTCCATGCTCTCTTACAGATCACCTTGTGTGTGCACAGTAAAGCTCCAGAACGAAGCTGGACTGGATATCATGGTCACTAAAGAGTAGGCAAATGAAGATGTAAAAATCAGCCTTTGTGAAGTTAGTTTTAGAAAAATGTATTACTTAACAAATTTTATCTTTGCTTTATCACAACAAACAAATAAACAAAATTTAAAAAGTTCTCCCAAATAAAACTGGACTCTCTGAGCATGGCCAACAATGAGGGCTGATGAGAACCCAAGGACAATGGCACGGGGTTTTGAACCTACGTAATGTGCTGGCTTTGTGGGAGCCTAGCCAGTTTGGATGTTCACCTTCCTAGAAATGCACGGAGGGGGGAGGACCTAGGACTTACCACAGGGCAGGGAAATCTGACTGCTCTTTGGGCTGGAGAGGGAGGGGGAGAGGAGTGGGGGGAGGGGGAGAAGGGTGGGAGGAGGGGGAGGGAAATGGGAGGCTGGGAGGAGGAGGAAATTTGTTTTTTTTTTTTTCTCTTTTCTCAATAAAAAAAAAGTTAAAAAAAAAAGAAAAAAAAAGTTCTCCCAAACTCTACATTTATTCAAAGTCTATGTCTGAGGCACATTACCTGCAATATAAAGTCCTCAAAAATTCACATAAAGTCCCCGCTCACCTAGGATCAGAAATTATTAGAAGCAACAGGCTTAAGCAACGGTACCAGTATGTTGAATGCCCAGAAAAGATGAAAGTACAAGCCCAGTGGGAAGTCTGGAAGACAGGGTAGCTGGTTCGTTGGCTATACACAGGCACCTGAAGAATATGGCTAAATGCTATGGTAAAGGGATACTCTAGACAGTAGGAATACAACATGAACAGAAACCAAGATAGGAATTCTGTAGTCCTTCTGTCAGGCAGTACAGCAGTTTAGAATAGTGAGTCATGAGACTGGAGGAAGAAGAGGGTCTCAGATCATAAAGGGCTCTGTAGAACACGTAAAGAACATGAGAAAATGGTTTGGAGTGACGGCTCAATGACTAAGAGTGCTTGTATTGTAAGCATGAGCACTTGAGCTTGACTCCCCGGCACCCACATAAAAAACTGGGTATGGCCGCATGTGCCTGTAACACCAGTTCTGTAGGGTGTGGATACAGGAGGATCACTGGGGTTTTCAGGCTGTCAGTCTAGCTCTAGGTTCAAAGAAACCAGTCACAAGGGAGTAAGGTGGAGAATTATAGGGCAGGACACCCTACGTCCTTCTGCAGTATCCACAAGTATACATGTGTATGGGCATGTGTAGGTACACCAAACATGTGCACACACCAAACATGTGCGCACACACACACACACACACACACACGCACACATGCACACACATATATGCATCAGTGGCTGCAAAATGATAAATAGATGGTATCTTCGTAGAGTTGGGAGGATGAATTCTGAGGCAACATCTGGGGAAATCCCTTAAAGGGGCAAAAGAATTTTAATTGCCAAAGTCAGAGGTCTTCAAATTTTGACAGCGATCCTCAAGCTAAGTCCTCAGTGTTTCTGAATGAGTAGGTATGGGGTGGGTTTTGCAGCTCTGCATGGCTAACAAGTTTCCAGATGGTTAGAGTCTCCCAGGTTTTCAACTTGAGCAACTGAGTGGATCCTTATATCATAAAACAAGGAACATATGAAGCAAATCCTCCTGTGACCCTATAATCCTCTGCCTTCTATTGCTGCTTCTACTAATGTCTCAGGCTTTGCATGTTACCCACTGACCATATGATGTTGGACTCAAGCTGATTTATTTGAACATCTGGTGTGGGAGAATGGTCTGTATTCTGTCAATTAAATTTTAAATAAACGCTGATTGGCCAGTAGCCAGGCAGGAAGTATAGCCGGGACAACCAGACAGGAAGTAGAGGTGGGTCAATGAGAACAGGAGAATTCTGGGAAGAAGGAAGCCCATTTCTCTGCAGTCCTGACCCAACCACAGAAGAAGCAAGATGCGACTGCCCTGCTGAATAAGGTACTGAGCCATATGGCTAACATAGACAAGAATAATGGGCTAATATAAGTTATAAGAGTTAATAAGAAGTCTGAGCTATCCGTGTGATTTCTTTGGGACTTAACGACTGTGGGGATCAGGCGGAACAAAAAAATCCTTGGTCAACAGAATGGTGCCCAACGTGTGGATGAATGCATCCACATAAAGCTTCAGCATCCAGATCTCTACTAGCTTATGATAAACCTGTCAAGTCCAAAGTAAACTCCAATTCTCCAAACTCCAAAAGGCAGTCCAAATATCCAGAAATGGACTCAAACTGTACTATAGGAGGATTTTTGGTGGTTAGACAAAACCCATCATTTATCAGGAACTTGTGAAAGCAGTTCCTATCTGCCAAAAGGAGTCATTTTTTTTTTCATTTTTTGGCAGAAGGGACATATTGGTTTCCAATTTCATATACCTGTGGTTGCATATCAAAGGCTATGCTGGCCTCCAAGCTCCCTCAGTATCACAAATACTTGTTATAGATTTGTCCAAATGGCAAATGTGTCATCACTTATTAGTGGGATCCTGATGATCCTCCATTGATCTTGAAACCATGCCATAGCCCAGTGTTGTGTCTCAAGTGGCAATTCCATGGCCGACATCATGTTGAGGGTTCCTGCTGGGAGTTGGGGATTTCCTGGCTTTCTCCTCAAGCACTTATCTAAGCCACAGAGCACTACATGAGGGACAAACACCAGTTAAAATTGCTGTTCTTTGGCCTTGCCCCAGGTAGGGTGAGCCACAGATAGATAAGGCTTCTCTCTGTAAAGGGACAGTACCAGTGACTTTTAAAGATGTTTACAGTTAATTGTAATATAATAATGTTTTTCATTGAATAACTTGTTTAATTATATGCATAGGAAGCAGAGCAAATGGAGGAGCCATACAATTTTTGAATCAAATTATATCTCGATTCTGTCTTCTATTCGAGTCTTCATCTGTATATTTCAAACAATAAAACACTTTATGTAATGGTGGGTGGATTAAATGAAGTAATGAAATAAACTATCTAGTCCAGTGTTCAGTGTGAAAAATATTCTCTTATCTCCTCTTTTCCCATGATTTGGTAGCCAGCCACTCTGGTGGTAACTGGTCTAACTCTATATATATTTGAAAAGAATCATTGTTCAGAACAGTTGAATTGGACAGCAATAACATTGTATGGATCAGGCTATACCCAGATGAGCCAACCATGTCTCCTGCAATAAACAAAACCTTTAAATTTGCGGACATTCATCATCTTAAAAGTATTTAAGTGTTAAATTTTAATTAGCTACATTTACAAAAGTTTTCCTTAGGCTTCCTGCTCTAGTATATTTTTCATTCCCAATCAGCTAGAAATGTTATTGCATTAGACTTTGATATTAGACTTTGATAAGGTCATTTGTTCATAACTTGAGCTCTTTACTATAACAAGAAAAAAGTATTAATTATTTATCATAAAGAATGAGAACATGATGAAACTGGTTCTCTGTCTTCTAGATAGTGCCATAGCTTGCTTTAGAAACAGTAATGTTCGTAATCAGAATTTTATTGGGGCTCCTAAGAAGATCTTGTCAGCAGACCTTTGCAAGGTCTTGTTACACTACTGACAAAATGATCATCTATCGAATGCTTATAATGTAGGAATTCTGAAAGATTTATGTTTTTATCTGCATCAATGCACACATTCTCATACAACCATCGTCATCTACAGCATTTTAAGCATTTTTAGGAAGGACATAGAACATACCTTTATTATTCCTTGTCAAGAACACTAAAGAAGGCATTTCTTTTCCAAGTTGGGAAAGACATTTGTTTTTCAAGAACCTGATGGATTAGATGTCCCAGACTTTGTTAAATTATCTGAATGGACAGATCTATAGGCCAGGAAAACTTTGTAAAAAAAATTATCTATTTCATTTGGTCGATGTTCCCATTTACCCCCCAACCCTTACCTGACCCTTACCAAACCCATGGTCAGAGAGAATCTCAAGAAAATGCTAAGCAGGGGAAAATTAGTTGAAACATTTTTCTATAAGAATTTAATAAACATCACATTATTTCAAGGATCAAATATTTGAATCTTTACAACAACTTAATAAACAACATCTTACTTCAAGGCTCAAATATTTTACATAGTACCAAGATTAGGCTTAGCCTTACCCTTCGTGGAAAATCCCCAAAGAGCCCTTGTTTTGAATGCTGGTATGGTACACATACCTTAGCTTATTTGACCAAGCATATCCACCAAATTCAGAACACTGTACCTACCCATCGGTGCTCGGTTCAATGGGCTACGGCACTTACCTATGAATCTGATGATCCTTCGGAGTAAGGGGTTCAGATAACAGCATTCCCCTGTAAGGATTGTTTTCTCCTCAGCAATCAGGGATTCCCTTGTTGACTTTATGAAATACATGGATATTTCACCAATAAATATCTGGGGAAGGAATGTTAAAGAAATGTCAAGCAGGAGAATTGCTTGTTTATAGATAGGGCAAAGGTCCACAAAATAACTTCCAAGGAAATCGCATTCCTTTTAAATGTCAATTGGGGAGATGGTGGGATAGATACTATCTTGCATTTAACCATTTTTTGTTTTTTGAGACAGGATTTCTCTGTGTAACAGACCTAGCTGTCCTGGAACTAGCTCTTGTAGACCAGGCTGATCTCAAACTTAAAGATCCGCCTGCCTCTGCCCCCAGATTAAAGGCGTGCGCCACCACAGACCAGCTACATTTAATTCTTAAAATGAAATTGGAAAAACCAATATTTGACCATTTAAGATACAACTCTGGGAAAAATATTAAACTCTAAGGTCATATGAAATATAAACTGAAATAACAGTGTGCAGTGCAATTTATGATACAGTTTGTGGCAGGATTAAATGTTTAACTGACTTTGGAAATTGCAACAATGAAGAATGATTCAGAGAGCTAATAATTCAAGAAAGCACAATTTTACATCTCACAATACATTATTATTTGCATTATAAATACTTATTTGAAAGTTTTTTTTTTTTTTTGCCTGAGGTGTGTTTCTACAACATGGAAGTGGTTTGGCTGTTACTTCTTTATTACTGAATCCCTCTCTTGCTTCTTGAACAAAAACCTTTGAAATAATTATACATTGAGTGGTAGTTTGAAGATAACTAGCCCCCATAAGCTCATTGGGAATGGCACTATAAGGAGGTGTGCCTTGTTGGAATAGATGTGGCCTTGTTGGAAGAAGTGCGTCATTGTGCATCCGGATGGGCTTTGAGGTCTCCTATGCTCACAGTATGCCCAGTATCTCAACTAATGATGGAAGTTAACAACAAAGAGTAAAAGTTCACAATCACCACCATCCATTAAATACTAGGCACAGGGCACTTCAGCGTGTTGACATGCTCAGATCCCTAGTCTAGATATAAATACACTTTTCTCCCTGGAGAGCCATGAATGGTCTCTAAAGCATACAAGTAACACATGTGGGGACCGCATCCCACAATAAAGCAATAGCAATAAAGTTGCTATTGTTGTTTGATAACAGTTAGATAGCATCTGCACTGCAGTCATTATTGCTATAACTACACTATTACAATAAAGCACTTAACTAAGTCATTGGAGAAGCAGATTCCAGGAGAAGCATAGTCTACTGGGAAAGCACTAAGAAATGGAGAACCCAAGATGGAAGAAAGGACTTCCCTCCTCTAGATAACCCAGGTTTGAGACTCTAGTGTAAAATGTACTTCCTAGCTAAGAGACTCTGCTGATTCTTATATCTACAACATTCATTAATACGTAAGTGAAATATATATCATATGTATGTATTTGTGCATAATCTTAGAGTAAATGAGAGTAAAACCTGAACTATATATTTCTGAGTATGACTTATTTTGCTTAAAATAATTATCACTAGTTTCATTCCTCAAGCCTAATGACCCGAGTTCAGTCATCAATGACCTGGGACCTACATGATAGAAGGAAAGAATCGATTCTCATACATTGTCTTCAAACTTTTTCATACGGCATGTGCATGTGTGCTTGCAAACACACACACACACACACACTAAATAAATAGAATTGAAAAAATTGAAGAATGTGAAACTGATACAAAAATAACATTGCTACCAACATTCAAATCACAAAGGAGGTATGGACCATAAGAGAGAAATAAATGAAACAAGGGTATATTTTATTTATGTATTTGTAACGAAGCCCATTATTTTGTATGCTCAATAAAAATAGAAAATGCAAATTAGATATTTATATCCAGATACTGGCAATGTCTGGAATATACTAAGTGCATGCCTAAGTACTAAAAGAGAGAAGAAGGGGTCAAGGGGTCATTTTATAGTCAAAATGGAGTGACATATACTTGGCTTTTTGTAAAACTTTGATGGGCATCAAGTTGTTAAAGAGCAATCCAGTTCCTTCAACAATGAATGGACTTTATGGACAGTCATCTCCCTCACCACACATGTCTTTTACTATTTCTCCATTCACTGGGTCTTCTATTCTCATGGGTGTTTGTGGAGGGCGGGTGAGTCTGCCTGGAGGATGCAGGGCTGTGAAGGTAAAAGATGGCTCTGCTTTCTGCCAAGCTTGCAGCTCACCATTGATGCCATTTGCTCATAATGGCAGATTTACGGCTCTGGCTTTGGCAGTGCATTGGTCCCTCCATCTGTACTTCTGCTGGACCACCCTGTCTCAATCCATCATCTCTACAAAGAGCATCTGGAGCACGTGGGAGTCTCCATGTGTTCAGTGTTGGCTGTCTTACTTGTTTAGACCTCTCTGATTGTTGGCTAACAAAATACACATCAATCACAGCAAATTAAGAGTGTCCTCCAGTGAGAAGTGGTCAAGGCCAAACTCGCTCTGGCAAGAATAAAGTGTAGATAAATTCCATTAGTGATTTTCATCTTCTAGTTCTTCTAGCCACAATCCTAAGCGACTAAGACCTTTGGTACAGTAGTAAGTGTACTTTAAGTCATGACAGCAGCTGCAATACATGGTTAGAGATCTTCCACATACAAAACTCAAATGCAAATATGTAAACCATATTGCAACATGGTGATCATTTTTTTGTGTTTTATCTTTCTTGATGCATTATTCAACAGATTGAAGCTACTTTTGACAGATAAAATTATATGCATTTATCATGTCCAACAAGACTCTCTAAAGTGCATTTATATTGTGCAACGTGTGACTCTAGCTAGGTAATTAACATATGTTACCACACACAGTCACCACTTTGGAGGTGTAAGTATTTAGCATCCACTCAGCATGTCTCAAGATCACAACATGTTCGTAGTCATGTTGTACCCTGCTCTAGTTTTAGGGAACGTACCTAGTTAACTCAAAAATTTAATCATTTGAACAATATATCCTCAAGCCCTTCTCTCTAACCACCCTGAAAATCATTCTGTTCTGTGTTTTGGTGAGGCAATATCTCATATTGTCATTTGTACTTCCATGATGAGTGATGATGTTGGAAACTTTGCATGTGATTCATTCAGGTGGTCTGATGGCTTCTAATCAAAGAACTATTGAGTTCATTATCTATTTTAGTATGAATTACATACCAAATGTATAGCTTCACATATTTTCTTCCACTTTGTGTATGAACATTTCTTTCTGTGACAATTATTGCCTTTGATAGGCAGAATCATTTTAGTTTGTAATTCTATTTCTCCACATTTCTTTCATTGACTGTGCTTTTGGGGTTATACCTAAGACACCATCAACAAGACCTTTCTCATCAAGTTTTTTTCTTCTAGTAGCTTCATAATTATAGGGTTTTGTATTAAGTCTTTAATATGTTCTGTGTTTATTATTCCATAAAGTATGAGCCTAAAGTCCAATTTCATTCTTTTGTGATAGAGTTCCACTCTCCCCAACACCATTTGCCTGTTTGCATGTTTATGCACCGTGTGCATGGAGAGCCTTGGGAGCTCAGAAAGGCTATCAGATTCCTGGAACTGGAGTTACAGATAATTGTGAGCTATTGTGTGGGTGCTGTAAATCAAAACTGGGAACTCTGGAAGAAGAGCAGCAAGCGCCCTTTACTTTTAAGCCATCTCTTCAATCTTCCTTTTTTTTTTTGAACTAACCTACTGAATCCCGTCAGTGATGTCCACGTGTGTATGGATGTGGGGCCATGCACTTGAGCATGGTCAGTCTCGGGAAACTCTCACAAGTATTTTGCCCTCTTCAATTTCTTTTAATGTTTGAAGAACTGACCTTTACTCTCCCAGCAGCTATCAATTGCCATAGCTGCTCAGCTGCTGTGATTTCATGAACATTTAGTGATCATGTCCAGAAAACACTGTTCTGACCTTAATTTTATTATTATTTTAAAATTTTGCAACTATCGTACATAGCTTTCTTGATTCATTTTTCAGAGAGCTTTCAGTCAGTGTGTAGAAATGCCACTGGCTTCCATATGATAAATTTACATACCTTTGCTATATTGAATTGCTCTAATGTCACAATCTTGGGTGGCATCATGTGGGTCTTTGGAATAGAAGACCATGTTGTTGGCAAAGAGGCATAATATAATTTCTTCATTTCTAGTTTGGACACCTTTTAATTCTTTTTGTTACGTAATTACGCTAGTTAGAACACTATGCTGAGCAGAAGAACTATGCTGTCTCTTTCTCTTCTGGTTCTGGAGTAAAGGCTGTCTGCCTTTTCCTGTTCAGCAAGAATATATTATATATTATTTTTATGATATTCAGGCAACTCACTGGGCATTTTATAAATAAAGAATACTAAATATTGTTAAACACTTTATATCTCATAATTCAATTGTGATTTTTGTCTTTCATTCCATTAATGTGTTGTATTATGTTTACTGATTTGCATATATTGGACCATCCTGATATTCTTGGGATGAATTTTACTTTATCACAAGGGGGATCATTTCAAATCTAAAATAATTAAATAAAATATAATTACATCATTTCTCCATTCCTATCATGTCCCACATCTTTATTCCCTCTCAAATTCATGACCCATTTTCTTTGATTATTATTATTACATATATGTCTCTCATTTAAGATGCAGTTAGGGATTATTCTGTAAAGCGGTGGCAATAGGTTCTTCCTCAAGATCTCCAACCTCACTAGCTCCAAGTAGTTTTCTATGTTTTTAGTGCCAGGTATGATTTTCCTTGTGTAGAGTTGTACTTAAGTCCAATTAGACACCTGTGGTTATTGCCAAGATATAAATGCCACTATTGCACCTTTTTTATTTTATTTTTTATTTTGGTTATTGTGGTTCTTGGGTGTCACAGCTGGCAGGGTTGCTGACTGCTCCCCTCCCTTGGCAGCTTGCACAGTGCCTTCTGGTACTTAAAAAGCAAGACTTCAGGAAGGAGACTTTCGTGTTCTATCAAGCTTGAATCTTTCAACTCTTTTTTTTAATTTATTTATTTATTAAAGATTTCTGTCTC